AGAAAATATCTCCCAAGAAAATCAGTTTTACGTATCTATTTGACGTAAAATTTTTCCAAATCCTCTAATATATTCTTAAGAAATAAAATTCTAAAACTTCAGACCCAAACTCCACTAAATCATAAGTTCTATTTAACCCAATAATTAAATATACTAAGCAAATAATTAGGCATATTAGAAATTGGATGTTACACTGTGTGATGTAAGACCCGTTAGATGCATGTTTTTTTGCGTGGGTTATTTGATTTTTTTTTATTCTTTAATTGTTTTACATAGTGTTTTCTTTTTAAATTTTAGTATACAACTTATTTGTATATGATCATATATTAAAAGTACGTAGATCACTGTTATAACAGTCTTTTTGCCACGTGTTCTTAGGTCTTCTTAAATATGGCGTTTTTAGCATTGTGTTTGAAAGATAAATGGAGTAACAAATTATAAATCTTAATATTTCATTTGGAACAAATTTTTGAATAAAAATGGTTTTGTTCGAATCGAACCCAAACCAAAAATTGGGTTTTAGCAATTGAATAACCAGACAATTACTTTAAATTCACGTATGTGGTAAAATAAATGTGTCAAACGAATCGGGTAATATGTCGTCACAAGTTTATGTCAAAAACATATAAAAAAAATTAACAACGTGTATGATTGATAGACATATAACTGCATTCTTTTTTTTATTTTTTCTTAACTTTGTTGATAAGTAATATATTAAATAAAACTAGAAAAGTACTCGCACAATGCAGCGAGATACATCTCGATTTTAATGTTATATTTTATTTTTTATCTTTGTCGATGTTATAATACGATTTTATGTGTTTTTAAGAAAGCAATAATGATTTTATTTTTGAATCAAATATAAATTTTAAAATATCATAAAAATTTTAATTAAATATTATGTTAACACTCAATGATTATCCTGATTATATTTTAGATTTTTTATATTTAAATGAGATGTTTATCTTATATTTGATTATATTTATCTGCAATTAGTTACACAAATTCAGATATGGAACTTTAATAAGTGTACTTACGCACAATTTACTTGTAATCTTGAATTTTAAGTAACATGCATTAATAAACAGTACTTTATGCATAAAAAATGGTTTTTAAGAGTTTTTATCAAATGTTTTATAATATAATATAGATTTATAAAAATATTATTAAAATTATAATCCTATTTTTTAAATTTAAAAATATTATCAAAATATCTTATTTAAAACTAGGGTTTAGAAGTAATATTACCGCTCCAATGTGATATAAATGTCGAAGAAATTAGTTTCTATTAATAACAAAAAAAGATATTGGACTTAGGAGGACCTCAATGTAATTTAAAAAAAGTAAAGGGTATATTTTGTATATAAACAAAAATGAAGGGGCACCGTTATAACTTTTCCCAATGAACAAGCAACGAATATGTCTTTCACCCTTCAGATCACAGCTAGACACCATTCATCTGTGGGCTCCACTGGACCGAAAAGACGTCAATACCCTGGGTACATCGATAGAGAAGGCATGGAAAGTAAGGGGTAGTTTAGGAAAGTGAAGTCTCTCCGACAGGTGGGAAATGTAAGGGGCTTTTTGAATTTGAACCGGGACCGACTACGACTGGTCCACCAACACGTTATCACACGCTACAATCAAACCGTGTTTCGCATAAGTTTTTTTCAACTCCCCGGTTCAGAAAAAAAAACCGGATAAAAATTAATTTGATATATACCGTACAATGATCAAAAGTAGTATCTTGAAAAATTAATTAATTATAATATTTTTAAAATATAAATAAAATAAATTTTTAATAATATAATATATTAATTATTAAAAACAAGATGGTAAAA